CATAGTGTATTTCTATCTTTCCATTAGTAGTCTGCAAGTAACTTTAATTTAATTACAACTGTTCTGCTGTATAAATTATTTTTTTGTACTTCAATTACCTTGTGCAGACCATAGTCTTCTTGAGGAAAAAGTAATGAATATGTCGTGGGCTTTAGAAGTATTATAGGTGATTCGATTTTCGGTACTTGTGTCTCATCGTATTCATGAAGACCGATCAAATGCTTATACATTGTCGTGCACAAAGCTTTTCTTTTGTCAATCATTACTTGTGAGTAAGCCGAAGAAACATGTTTCAAAAAAATTTCTAACTTTTCGTCCCAAGTAGTATTAGTACATTTGTTCAGCTCCAATACAAACTGAAAAGATATACACACTGAAAAGATCAAATTTGTGATTTTTGTCGAAAAATCATTTTTGTGCATATCGATTAATAATTGTTAATTAGTCGATGTTCGCCATTTTGAATTGTGAAATTCTAGCCTCGGATTCGTAATTAGTGACCTCAGAAACCCCTTAAATCCATTTTACCATCTTTTCAAACGCAGATTCTATACGAATTCTAGCTAAAACTCACATCTAAGGGGTAGTTTTCACCCTTTAGAGTGCACCTTTACCGATATAAAAAAAATATATGTCGATTATTTGTCATAGTTCCACAAATGTGCAAAGTCCCATCAAAATCAGTGAGTTCCAACAGACAGTTCCGTAAGTTTACTTGTGAGATATGTCATGATACCGCACCTGACCTAGCAACTTTGACATCGCCTATCTTCGAAACAAAAAGTAGGCTCAATGTAAAAATTTTCTGTGATCAATGTCTCATCATAAACTATCATTTAGCGTACTATTTGGTTCCAAATTCGAGGGCCGCAAATCGGGCGATTATTGGGGTCACTCTTTCTTTTAAGGTCTTGCTCTTGTTCTTTGTGAACAAATTGTATCCTGTGATTAATATCGCATTATCGTCATTCGACAACTTCTTCGATTGCGAGACTGTGATTTCCGAAGGAAGAGTAACGCAATCGAAGCGATCGGTTCTGGTTACCAGAGTAATGTTTGGTTGAAGCAACGGTAGATCACCCAAGATATCGATAAACAGTGGTGATGCTATTTCATCTGTTTCTACTTTGTCATCATCTTCGATCAATTCGATAATATTTACTTTTATCACTTGATGATACTCCAGAGCGAGATGCGTCGACAGCATCACGGCTTCCTGCAAAGAAACCTCGGCTCCGTCGCGATGGGCTATGAATCTATACTCTTCGAGAACGGGCTCCCCCACTGGCTTTCGACGAAATATGGAAGTAGCCTTAATTCCGCGAATTTCCACACCGCCGGATACTATCGCGTCGCATGTTTTGTACACACGCACAGGAAGCTCTAAAAAGATATTTATAAATATTGTATTTTTTTATACTCAAACTTCTCTTACGTTAAACATATTTCTTTATTTGAGAATTAGTTACAACATTTAAATTTACATTAAAAAATTAATATTAAAAAGCTGTTATATAAAATATAAGTTGACAAGCTTACGATAATCATTAGCTGCTGCGTTCCGTATTTGCTGTATGTGAAGTTTCGTATCGATTACCAACTTTTGTATTCCCGTGGGAACGTGAAGACTCCTCGTGTCTATCCCGAAGATTGTCATTTGCAGCATATTATCCATAAATGTTACCCAATTGTACATCCAAGCTATGTGCCCTTGTTTTCCCGTAGTCGACGAACTCTTATAACCCCGAAATATGCCGGCGTATTGATATCCGCGTAATCTGAGTTTCTTGTAGATATCTTTTGTGTTCATTACTTCCTCTTCATTTAACAATTGTTTCGGTAACTTTTCTTCTGTAATATCTGTCGGTTCACGCACAGTGCCAGTGACGACGGCGTTATCTCCTTCAATGACTTCAAACTTTCCAGTTGCTGCAATAAATAATCGTGAATATCTCTTTTTATCACATAAATGGAGTATTATTATTCTTAATGCAGCAAATAAAGTAGCTTATTGAAAAATAGGATTTTAAAATAAAATCTACCTTTCTGCACCTTTATTATTAGATACACAGGTCCTTCTTTTGGAAAGTGCGTTACCCGAATGAACTTGACATTCTCAAAAAAGATCGGCATATCTGTATACGATAGACTTTTCAACAAACCCATTGTTTGCCAAACTAGCATGAGATATCCCGTAGCCGGTAATAACTGTCTTCCGTCAATCACATGACCGCTCATATATTCGTATTCTTCGTCATTTCGCGCAATTTCAACCATCCTTTCTCCGATAGAGAGTTTCGTCAGCATTTTATAACATGTTAAGTACCAATCCTCAGAATGGTCTCATCTCAAAATAAAAATTAAAAATTTCTTACTGTAAAAATAATTTTGTATTCTATCATGTTTAACAAATGAATAATGTGTTCGACATACTTGATTGACGGCGAGATCATCGGCGTGGAAACCGACTAACAGGAAATTTTACGGTCGGATATAGATTTGCTAATTGCGGTTGCAAGCCATTGTTGTACATTTTTCCCAGACCTTGCAAAAATACTTTGACGTTATCTTCGTGATTAGGCTGAAGTAATGTGATGCTGATTGTGTTGAACAGTTCTTTCGTAACACTCTGAACAATAGCATCCGGCGCGATTTCAAAAGTCACTGCGTTTCTGGGAATTAATTGCGCGGTTTTATCGAAACACACAGGACTCAATAGATTATTCGTAAAATATTCCGCGCAAGATAATTTCACGCTGCAAAATAAACTTTGCCATATCTGATTGGGTGTCATTGTTTGCGGTATTATTTGATTTAGGTAAGCTAGAATCGTATCTCTCGCGGGGAAAAGATAACGAGTATGTAGAGGAATATCGCAGCAGTTGACTTCCTCAGTAAATACATTATTGGTCTGCAAAATTATATAAAAAGTATAATTTGTTTAAGTTAATTACACGTATATTCAACAATATATTTAAATGAAATATTAAAGTACCTCTAATTGTTTTGTAAACGCCTTTACTGATTTTCTTAGACCGCTTATGGAGCAAGTATTTTGACTGTTGCTGTAAATTACTTCGATATCTGGTGGGCATATGTTCTTCACATTCTCATAACTGAGACCGATATTCACCATTGCGCAGTTAATTTTTTTCGTTTTCTTCAATCCCAATCCTATGTAATACGAAGATAAAATCACTTGTTCAAGGGTGAAATTACCGGTCGTATATGCGCAGCATAGTTCACCAGTTGAGTGACCAACGACATAATCTGGCACGATATTTACGAATCTTAAGAGATCGATTAATCCCACCTAAAAAAAGAATAAAATATTTCTTTCTATTATTATCAAGAAACATTTACAGAAATTGCGCGCATATAATTTGTAAAAGCAATTTATCACCTGCATCACAGTGATGCCCACAAGTGAATTCAATATGTCGTCAAAAATATCTTTATGTTTACTCGTTAATATGTCAATGATATACATTCCATGTTTTTTTAAAATTGTATCGCATTTTTTTATGGTTTTGGAAAATACTGGAAATCGCAGTAGCGCTTGACCTGTTAACATGTTAATTCGGTTTAATTGCAAGCAATCACTTTTCTAACATATGCAAAAAAGTATCCGTACCCATGCCAATCCATTGCGATCCAATTCCGGAGAACACAAAACAAATCGGTCTTCTCTCACCTGAATAATATTGTATTTCTTTTGCCGCTTTGATCGGCGTTTTGGATTCGACAATCACGTATTCTCTGTAAGGATGATTTTTCATCTCGTCAGCGTAAAGATCATGCAATAGCCGTACATATTCGACGTCTATCGGCCGGTTCTCGATCTAACATACAAATTTTTGCGATGTAAGAGTGCTTTTATTGACTGTGTAACCGCAAAATTTTTATATACTTCGTTTAGAAATGATTCAACTGCTTGTTCGGTACGTCCAGACAGGACAACAAGTCTGGGCAGATTATCATTCGGCGCTTCTTTATTGATTTTTTCCTTTGTGTTACTTCGCATCAAGATGTGGCAATTAGCTCCACCAAAACCGAACGAATTAATACCTATAAATCCAGAAGTCCATGGTGTTGTGTTGGTCACCACGCGTATACTTCCATCTTCAAAAGCCTTAACACTTTTCCGTACTTGTGTGTAGTTTATATTTGGCGGGATTAAGCCAGTTTCCATTGCAATTATCATTTTACGTAAAGTTAATTAAATGCTTACTTGTTGCTTCTTATTATTTTATTAAATTATTTATTAATTAATAAATGTTTTTTATCTTCTTATTATGATGCTATTAATGATTTAGCAGCAAAAAAAATGTTATACAAATTTTTGTTTGTAAGGTATAAAAGTTTCACAAATCTACGATCAAAAAAGTCGACGGCTACTATTGTAATGCATATAATATTTATTATTACCTTAGCAATTTGACACATGCTACTAGCACCTTCAGAATGGCCCAAGTTTGATTTGACAGAGCCGATTAATAGAGGAGTTTGCCTGTTCTTGCAGAAAACCTGCTCGAGTGCATTGATTTCTTCTGGATCGCCAACATAAGTGCCGGTGCCGTGAGCCTCCATGTAGCCTAAGCAAGTCGGTGAAATACCGCATTCATTGTAAAACTTTTCAAATAAAGTTTGTTGCATTTTGCTCGACGGGAAGGTAATGCCTTGTTCCTTGTATCCATCGCAATTAGTTTTCCCGTAAACGACGGTTGCATAAATTCTCTTAGCTACCTTTGCTTTTTGTAAAACTGCGACTTCGATCGTGTCGCTGCGCATGTAACCGTTTGCATCGTTGGTAAAAGGTTTGCAGAATCCGTCAAGTGCTAAAACTCCTGAAATTTTAAAATTATGTTACAAAATCTAATTTAGATATATTTTTATATATATTCCAAATTATTTTTTAATTATCTTTGATATTCTAAATTAATATTTCAATTAGTATAATACCGAGTCTTCCAAACTGCAAAGCTACATAAGGATGCATGCAGAGATTTACACCACCGACAATAGCTGCGTCACACTGTCCTGACCGGATACTTCTATAAGCGATCTCTAAAGCCATGAGACTTGAGCTGCAAGCGGAATCGAATGTGCAAGATGGCCCTGTTATATTTAACCACTGAGACATCCGATTTGCGTACAGAGGCTTGTAACATCCAAAAGCTGCAGCGCCAGCTACCTAATGTGCGTACATAAATTGTTTAGAGAATTTAAATGTTCATTGTATGAGCATTGTACAAGCTGATTTACAAACAAGTGCATTTTTTACAATATGATTTAAAAATGTTATTTTTCAAAATTTTTATGCTATAAGTTTTTGCAGTATTCTTGTTTGATCGATAAGTAATTTTTCGTACCTGTGGTTTTTCAAAAAACCAAACCTTTTCCGCCTCCGACACGCATATTGCGAGAAAAATTCCAGTTTTTGTTCCAGATAAATCTTTCGGATTTATTCCTGCATTGACGATAGCTTCATACGTATGCTCCATGAGCATCCTACTCTGAGGATCCATGATATGGACTTCGTTGAAAGGAATTTCAAAATAGTCTGCATCGAATTTCTCGCAATTGTCAATCAGTCCCATACGTTGAGGTAGATCTGGGTGACCTGTGTATTAAACCGTATATAATAAGTGAACAGTTATTTTCGTTCCAACTAATATAGAAGTTTAGATAAAGAAAAAATTATGGCAATGAAAAAGAAATTTATATAGAACAGTAATTTTATACATATGTTTCTATGAAATATTTTTAATACAATTTTTTATTCATAAAACAAAGAAGATTTTACCATGATTCCATCGGCGCTCCTCATTTGATCCAAGATCCAGTTTGTTAAATAAATTCTCTTCAAGCTGCCTAATATTGTCAGATTTCGGAAATCTACCGGCGATGCCAGAAATAATGATGTTATTTTCAGATTCGACATCAATGACCATGGTTTTTTGATTAGTGTTTATGTTAAACTCAACGACAGTAAATTTTATTTCACTGGTTAACAAAGTCCCAATACAATCAATAAATCTGCAGATATTTTAAATAATTTTTATTTTACGTTTTATATTTACACACTTTTCTTTTCTTAATTTTTAATGATAATATTTAAGTGAGTTTCTGGAACCCAACTTACGATTGCCTGTGCGACTGGCGTGACACTAGTTAATAGCTCATCTTTATACTTTACCTGTTTTTATATAAAAGACATATGTTAATTATTTCTTCACTATTTATGCAGAAACATTATAAATTTACTATTTAAAAAACAATTTATTGATTTGAATAATAATTAACGGTTCGTCATCGTGAAACATTAATGCCACGAGTTTCATTAATGCCACGGTTTTCAAATTATTTGCAATCATTGGTCTGTAAAAGTAAATTTTCTTATTTATCGTACTGTCTGTTGCATTAAGAGACGCGAAGATATGATATGGAAATAAGAATTTTGGGACTAATTGTATATCTAATAGAAAATTATTAATAATTTTTAGTTATATGAACTAGTTACATAATAAATTACATAATTCTGAATAAAGAACTACACTGGTTTTAGAATAAGTAAATTTTTTTACCATAAGAAACAATATATCTCATTAAATAAACATTTAAATAATATAAACGTAGTCCATTGCGTTAACCTTTTGAATACAATAAGTGTGTATATATTCCGCGAAAACAATCGATGTAGCCGACGAACTATTAACATTTGGAGAAAACAATCGATGTGGCCGATGGATATATGCAAAATAAAATTTAATAAAGTATATTCAACAGTATTGCATTAACCTTTGACTAAGGCTTAATAGAACGCAGAGCTGTCGTAACCGGCGAAAATAACGTGATCGGCAAAAATAAAAAGCCACCTCATATATAAGACTGATTTGCTTTATATAAAAAAAAGTATGTTATAAATTTTTTTAACTAAAATTGAAAATTTATTTATTAATTAAATGTTATTATTTTAAAAAATCAATTTTTTAATTTATAATTTTATTTATTTCTAAAAGATCATATATTTAAGAAACAAAATAAAAAAGCCAGTTAAGGAAATATAACATTTTAATTTAAAGAAACAACAATATTATTCTAATTAATAGTTAATATGATTTCCTTTAGTTGCGATAACTTTTTGAAGTTTTCTTGGCATACTTTCAACTAAATTTTGCAAATATTCTAAGTCCAGACTCTCCCATGCTAGTTGTAGCGCTTCAAAATAGGAGTCCTTATCAAGAGACACAGTAGTGTCTCGCGCCAAGTAACATGTAGTTTACTGTAGCAGCGCCAAGTTTTTTTGCGTTTTTTAATAAATATTTTTATTTTTTAAATATTTTTTTTATTTTTTTATAATATATATAGTATATCTAATAATATATATAGTATATATAGTATAATATATGTAAAATATGATAAAATATAATATATAATATAATTAATTATATATACGACAACTTTATGTACAAGAGTTTTATAGAATTAGTTACTCCGCATTTGTCAACTCTATTATTCAGAATCGCCCATAAATTTTCGATCGGGTTCAAATCTAGAGACTATGTTCGAGCTGTTTGATTCGGCAGGAATGAAAAAAAGCTCATCTTTTCTTTGCTGTGTGTTTCGGATCGTTATCTTGCTGAAAAATAAAATTATCTTCTAGCCTGAGCTTGAGTAAAGACTCCTCCAAATTTTCATTAATTATGTCAATGTAGATATCTGCCGTCATAATTTCATCAATCTTGACAAGATTTCCTACTCCTGCCCTGAGAAACATTCCCAGATCCTAATATTTCCTCCACCATATTTTACAGTTTTTTTGAATATGCCGATCTTGAAGCTCCTCTCCGTGTTTTCTCCAGACTCTAATCCGCTTCTTTTGTCCAAATAACTCGAATTTGCTTTTATCTGTCCATAGAATCTTTTTCCAGAAGTCCAATGACATATTCGCGTATTTCCGAGCAAATTACAAACGTTTTCTCTTATTGATAGCACTGATGAAAGGTCGTTTACGTGCAAATCGGCTGTGTAGATTTGCTTCACATAATCTACGACGTACAGTGCGGTTAGAAACATTGAGATAAATGTTTTTCTGAATTTCTCTAACAGTGATTTTTGGATTTTTTTAACTTCTCGGACTATTTTCATATCTTCTCGCTTGGATGTTGCTCGTTTTCGGTCTTTTCCGATTATGTCTGCCACTGATCTAGTTGAGTGGAATTTCCTTCTTATCTGTTCTACCGCTCCCCTGACTTCGTAGTTTTTAACTATGTTTCGTTGAGAAAAACCTTTTTGAATATCCCGCACAATTAGATTTCAGACTTGTGTAGAAATTGATTTTTTTACCATTTTTGACTTCGGAAAATAATCAAAGCAAGCTGGTGTCAAAAAAATGAATGCAATAACGCAAACTAAACACAGTAACGTGAACATGACAAATTTCAAGTTAAACTAAACTGTTGACATGACAACCACAATTGTACACATTATAGCAAACAAACTTTAATGGCTTTTTTATTTTGTCAATTTAATAAACAGCAATATTTAAGAAATATAAGTAAAACTGAAAAATGAGAAATAATTTATGTGATTTTTAAAAGAAAATTTTAACAAAATAAGACATGTGTCTTGGTTTACTGATAAAAATTCGTTTAATATTTTTTCTTTTTATTAAGCGAAATAAGATAACTGAAAAAGTGGCTTTTTATTTTTGCCGGTCACTGTATATCGCTCTACACAACTCTGTCGCGAAACACAATTTAACGAGTTTAGTAGCGCGATCCGTGTTTCATTATTGCCTTTCTTATCGTATCTATGTTAGTACAAAATAGTATGTGATAATGCTGTATCAAGGAGAGAAAATTATTTTGTCCAAAAATACTTTATGTTAATGTTTTATCAAGAATTGGTTTCTTAACTATAATGCATTCCTCACAATCGTGCGTAATATTGCTATCATACATTCTTTTGAGACGAAAAATGAAAATAAGTGAAGACATTTTTGCTTTGTAAGAAAAAGATATTTATGGTTTTTCAATGTAAGGTAAAAAAGAGTCATTATAATAATATTCTATTCCGAAAAATCGCTTAAAAGAAAGTCGAAAAGATAAGAATCATTTTATTGAGTTGCAATCGTATCGAATTCTAACATCAAAAGTTAAAAATATACAATACGGCTGTAAAATTTGTGAATTTTTAATTAATCATTTATTAATAGTAATATTATTTATAGCAGAGATGGTAATTAGTTGCAACTTTCGGCTCGATCTTCTGATTGACGCTTCCCGTCCCTTTTTTGCCGCTCGCATGCTAGCAACAAGTCGCCAAACGCGCTAACACACGCGTAACTAAGGTGCGCGATACTCAGCCTCAGGAGTGTCCATATCACAAATGCAACAAGATAATAAATATGGGACAATAGATTTCCACATCACCTGTGAGGTACTATTGTTGAAGAACGCGTCAATAATAGTACCTCACAAGTGATGTGGAAATCTATTGGGTAAACCTTGGGAATATGGTCCTCAAAAAAGTAATGGACAAAAATGCTCAATTCCCATGTATTTTTGCCTTCTGAACACAAATATAATAATAATATTTGGCGGTCGGCCATATTTTGGTCGCCATCTTGAAAAAACATGCAAAAAAACGTTTTATTACGATTATCTCCGCAACTATTTCCGGTATCAAAAAATTTTTCAAACAAATAATGTAGAAAATGAGATTTACTACAAATAAGGTTATACATATTATTGTCATAATTGCAATACTTTATCCTATTTCCTATTTCCTTAAAAACAACGATTCGGATTGGTTCTCGAAGCCGATTGGTTCCTTGGTAACCTAGGATTTTTCTATATATATCGCTATTGTTCCGAAGACAGACAGAATCGTTCCTGAAGTTATAGCGATTAGAAGCCGAGTCTTCTCAATATCTCTAAGCCGAGTCTTACAAATAGCGAATATATCTGAGCCGAGTCTTATATAGAACGAGCCGAGTCTTATATAGAACGAGCCGAGTCTCGTGACAGTGCACAAGCCGAGTCTTGTTCACTCTTCTGTATTTAAAACATAATAAACGTTTTTATAAACACAGTGCAATTTATGTGAGTTCATTCAATACAATATAGTAGTATTATACTTGATTTATAATTGTCTTCTTAGAATTAGCGCTTTTATTATGCGGCGGCAGCGGCTTTGATCATGCGGTGAAATATTATACGCTGGCCTAGTGCCTACTGACCTAGTGAAACCTTAGACCTGCGATTACTATTCCTCGAAAAGAAATGCAACTGTCGAGCGAGTCATCTCGTCATCGGCATATTATAAAGAATTATATTATTGTAAACTATCGGTGGATATTGATACGATTGTTAGCTAGCGGCGAATAGTTATTATAATAAAATTTAGCGGCATCTTTGATGTAAAGGTATATAAACCGGGATCCCGACGAAGTCGAGCAGTCGAGAAAAAGATCCTGACATTGCGAAAGATTAAAGTTGTATATTCTATAAAGTTTGAATCTTTAGTCTTTATTTATTCTTGCACTCACCACAGTTACATAGCACTACCGTATTTAGTGCTACAGTAGAGTAGCGCTACCGTATTTAGTGCTACAGTAGAGTAGCGCTACCGTATTTAGGCTACTGCTACAGTTTTATTAAAAACGGGATTGATTTAGTTCAGTCTCTACAAAAGAGAAGTGCTACCGTATGTAGGCTTCTATAAATTGATAAGGAAAACACTACCGCATTTAGGTTTCTACAAATTTTATTAGAAATGGGACAAACGATTCGAACAATTCGAATAAAACGATAAACGATTCAAACGATTCGGCTACAGTAAGAATCAATTGCAGTGAGTATTTTGAACAGTACGGTGGATGAGCCTATTACCGTGAGAATATTTAGCAGTCGCGTGGGCTAAACGCCATTCCAAGAAATATTCGTTGTTT